TTTGAAGTCGATCGGGCCATGTCGGGGGCTGGCTTTTTTGGGGGTCTATGGGGAATTTCGAATTGAATTTGGGGAGGGGGTGAGCAATTGCTAAAAAGTTGTTTTTCCACCTGAGCAAAAGGTGAGTAATTTCTTGATGGTGGGAATTTTATTTTTGGGGGAGGTGGGGGGAGGTAGGTTCACGGACGTACTCTAAATCACTAATTTTGAGCAAATGCTCCAGCCGTGGATAGTTAACTCAAGATTTCACTTCCATCGAAAAAGAGACCGATCCGAGGTCCTGATTTTAATCGCATGCGTTTCACATCCTTTCCCGCCTTTCCCCGGGGTTAACAGCGGGCTACGCGTTCCGATCCCCGTCCAGATTTCAATACCGAGGTAATTCCCGGTGCAGTCTCCTCCTCATTCGTAAGGCCGAGGCAACTTGAATATGAGCGTTGTGGTCTCTGACTAGAACCCATCCCACGTGGACTATATTAAAAAAGGCGCTGATGAACTTCAGCGGCATACAATATCTAGAAGAAGGGGCTGATTTTCTCAAAATCTATTTTCCCCGAGTTTCCCTTGTCAAGAGCGTGGCATGACGGTCACATGTCTAGCTGGGGCGGGGGGGGGGGGGGGGGCTATCCCTATCCTCAAGAAAAATTTGATCACATGTAGCTGCTCAATACCAGAAAATCTCTGTGAAGCCACATCGACCTTTCCCACGAAATGCGCTCGCCCCCGAGGGTAGGGTTTTTTTTACACCCTTTGATCGCAAAATACCGATATTGATTCGGCTGGCAAGTTTATCCTGTATTTGCTTCATCTTCCGTCAAATATTCATGCACTAATAGACATATCACGAGGAATAGTTTTGTTGGATGTCCAAAATACTAACACAGGATTTTCCGAAAAAGGGTTCGTTTTCCTGGAGTGGGTGTAAATAACAACACTGCGTTTGAGTTTTTAAAGAACTTGCAGATGTTTTTGTTTTAAGTTTGTGTCTACGAATTGAAATGAGGTAAAATGGTAACACATGCTTGCAAAGTTTCTGTACGCCGTTGACGTTCAGAACATGATTTTTTCTGTAAATTGGAATCGAAGGAGATGCCTGGTTCTGGGACTAAGGACTAAGAGTCGTGGCATGATCTTCGGCGTCTTCATGGGTGGGGGGAGGGGGGGTTTTATTCACAGGACTTTCTTACTAAAAGAGGTTGCTGGAGAAAATCTTGGGATTTCAGAGAGCAGTATGGGCAAAAAGCACATTTCAGCTCGGTATTCAGAAGACTGTAAATCCCCGGGAAGTGTGAATCTAGCCCGCGAGATGGCTGCACTTATGATTTTTCCCGCCTTACGTTTGAAAAGAGCTAAAAAACTGAATTTTCTGTGTAAGTGATGGAATCAAGCTATACCTAATAAAAATTGAGAATTATGGCCTCGCAGGTAAAAAACCAAGCTATATCAGAGAAGATCAGGAGTCCATTCTCTTTGGGCAAAAACTGACTTCATGGAACTCTGATAACATGGTTCAAAAACCATGGATTTTTTCTGGACTCTTAGGAGAGCCATGCGAAATCGTGTCATGATTCCCTTTCTTAGGTTCCTATGATCAGGGATTGTGAGCCCGAAGCCCATAACACAAGCCCGGACCAAAAGACGTCGCGGCGGCGCGGCGCTCGGTGCAGCGCAGCGATGCGACCCCTCGGCTTCTCGCCTATTCAAGATTTCCTTTTCTTTTTACTACCTGTGGAACAGCCAGTTCCTTGGTTCCATCCGCAAATATTTTAGGTCACCTGACTGGGGCCAGTCAAAGGCATTGGCCTGACTGTACGTCATTGAACGCCTATCCTCAATGACTTGCATTCAGTTGCGATTCCTCCGACGTGATTTATTGTGATCATATCAGGGAGGAGGAACGCCACGTCGCGTCGCGTCGTCGTGCCGTCCACTGCCTCATATAGAGTTTTCTTCCAAGGGCCTTAGTATGCTTAAAGTGGAAAGTAGGAGACACATGGCCAATTGGCATTGCCTCATATTTAGGCAAACATATTGATTAATGGAGGCGAAAACTCAATCAAGTTTTCTTTCTTTAATTCTTGCAAATATTTTTATTGTACTAATCTTAAAAAACAAATTTATTTATGTAAGTTCAGAATCATGATCGTTTGCAAGAATGCTGGATGAAGGCGAAATAGTTAAAATCGATAACGGGAAGAAGAAAAAATCGAATTAAAATTGGGATTTTGACAGAGCTTTCATTGACATGCAAACCATTCGGTGCAATCAAAAAGAAACGTGCAGCACATCAAAGTAATAACTGTATCAATAATGATCATATAAAATCGTAAATTAAATAAGTGTATCGTGATCACACTGTGGGTATACAGTTCAGCATTTTAGGGAAAGGATTCAGTTGTGAATGAAGCATAAGTCTTGGAGAAGCTCCTGAGAAGGAAATAATCTCATTGAATGGAAGAAAATATACATACACCAAATCACGTTAAAGATTTCGATCACATTTTACAAGAATTACGCACAAAATGTAGGTACACGATACTTTCTAGTTTGAAACTCATTGTTGCTCCTTTGGCGTGAGGGCGTATCTCGATTCACGAATGAGACCCAACAAGCATGGGTTTAAATGTAAAGCAGGGTTGCGTGGAAATTGAGATATGCCCTTACGTCAGAGGGCCGATGTCACGGGTAAAACTTGGGGTAAAAATCAGGTTGAGAAATCATCAGCAAAGAAATTTGAAAACAGGCATCATACCACTCTATGGATAGCTAGCTAATCGTATAACTCGGATCGACGTTATCAGATTTAAGCGTTTACCTTTTTTTAGCTATTTCGTAAAATTGCGTATTTACATAGCAGCAAAAAGTAAAGGATAATTAAGGAAAAGTAAAGGGTCCCGGGAATGAGTATGTTTACTGTATGTTTACCGAGTTGGTGAAAATGGCAACGTCATCAACGACGCCACTGAACCTAGAATTACCGTCTCGACACTAAGGTACTGAAAAAACGTATGCCAACGATTGTTTATAAAATCTTGCAATTACAGTGAAATTGGTGGTATTGATGTTACACAGGAATCGCGGGGCAATCCCCCCCACCCCCTCTTTTCCAAAAATCGATCACCCCCCCACCCCCTCTTTTCCAAAAATCGATCAACTCCTCAATTAACGGCCGATACGCACACTAAACTTTACTGTCTAGGCCCCCTGAAATGAATGGAATAAAATGAGGCATTCATAGGCATATCACATGAATTACGTAGTATACCGTCCAGTTTTACAGTCTTAATATTGTCCAGGAGAGCGTTAGTTTTTCCGGAGTAAATGAAAATAACAGCGCTATCTTTTAAAGCACCGAATCCAGATAAAAATTCTGCGTTCGTAGACATGCAGCAATGTTCATTTTAACGGAATTTTATTTTTGAAATTTTTCAGGTTCTTTGAAAAATTGTGGGTTTTGCACCCTTTGAGTTATAGACGATAGTACACCCCCACTTGCTCGAAAACGCTGCTACGCGGTGTCGATGCTACAGCATGAGTTGCTGTTAAAGGAATCCAAGGTGTTCGGTTCCAGGGCAGTGAACTCCGTCAAAGACGTTTTTAAAAGATCCGCGCATGAGAATCCATTCATGATAAATTTAGGTAAAGGCCCATAGCATCAGGGATATTGTGTGGAAGAAACAAAAGAAGCCGCAGCTTGACCGGACAGACAAAAGAATAGCGCGGCGCGAGCCGCGAAAGGAATGCGTGGGGCAAATGGTTGACGTATAATAATCAAAACTTGTTTTACGTTTGTCAACACTGTAAGTAGTTCTGATAAGTTACGTAGATGGCGCTCGAATCAGTACGTTTTTAAGTTCCGAAAATGATTACAATTTCAGTTGGAGAGAAAATCGTCTTGCTACCATCATTATCGGGACTCCCTTAAAATTGTGAATTTGATGAGAGTTGTTTAAGTTAGGATCTAAGTAAATATAATTTCAAAGATAGGAGGAAGATACTCTTCAACGTCATAAATAATTTCTCTGCATTTCGACATTTTACTCATGGATTTTGCCTGAAAACACTGTCGGGACCCGAGTGAGGTCCCGACAATGATAGGGAGTCCCGACAGTGCGGTCCGTAGATGACGCTAAGTCCCGACAATGATAGCTACTTCATCTCTCTCTCTCTCTCTCTCTCTCCCTCTCTCTCTTTGGTATTTCCACGCTTCCCGTGTATTTAGAGAGAGTGTCTGGTCCAGAGTCTAGTCCAATGATCTGTTAGTAATTTAAAGAAATGGTATACTAGGGGTACTTGATGTCAACTTTCAAAGAATTAAAAGCATCTATTCAAAATCTACCTTTTGCAAATAACCTCGGTGTGATTTCAGAGTGACCTCCTTAGATGGCCCCCAACCCTCCAATTTTGAGTCTGATCCAAAGATCTTCTAGAAACTTGAAGTAATGATACGTGTGGTGCTTGATGCCAAATTTCAAAGAATTCAGGGAATTTTTTCAAAATCGACAGTCCTTCAAATTCAGCTCAAGGTGTGATCTCACAGAGAGATGTGCCCTCTGGTTCTTTAGATGACCCATGTGCCTCTAATTCTAAGTCTAGTCCAAAGATTTTGGAGGGTTTAAAGATTCCGACACTAAACGGACAGGCATACATGTTTTCAAGTACGGCTTTTTTACTCAGGGTACCTTAAAACGTTTAAAAATTGTGAAATTTCGACTTCTTTTTTTTCTTATTTTAACGATTACTATATATGCTCTACACTCTCCCTTTCACAGCTAAGTATGAATGTTTTATGAAGTCCCAAAACCAAATCTTTGCTTATGATTTGCCAAAAAGTATGCCACCTCTTGACAAAAAATTACCTTTACAATTGATGACGAAAAATATTGTTCTAGAGAGACTTCATTTAGTCAAAAATGGTAGCAAGATAACTCTTAGTAAAAGACAAAAAAATTGACTGGGTATTAACAATAATAACTGATTAATCGTGTACTAAAATAAACTACATAAGTAAAACTAATAAAACTGAATGGTGAACTTCACTTAGCTTTGTACTGGTACTCACACTAGATCTGAGGCCCTCGATGTTTTCAGGTAATGATTCTTGTGGTTTTTCATCATAAATTTCTTTGATATTTTCATTATGACTGTTGCTTTGACCATTTAAACCGCCATTGAAAGAACTTGAACAACCTAAAAAAATAGAAGAACGGGCCCAGTAATATGAAGACAGGGATGTAACCCTCCACTTTTAGGTTCATACTGGGTGTTCCAGACCACCCTTCCACTATCTTTTTCTCGGAAATGGCCGAAAATTGAGCTTCGGGACAGTGACTTAAATTGGATAAATTAACCCCAAGGAATTCAATGAAAATATTGTCAGCCCCCCAAAACCCATTGGGGGGGGGGGGGAAACCCGACCTTTGGGGTACTCCCCGTTTCTCGCATATTTTAAATAGAAAGGATATGTTAAGACTTCAGATTCGAATTTAAAGGCCAAAAATAAGAACTTATGGTTTCAAGTAATTTCTTCTTAAACCTGGGAGTAATTGGGCATTTTGAGGCATTTTTTGGACAACTCTCAATTAGACACTGTAGGGTAGGCGTTAAAATCATCTGATTTTCGATATCTAAAATCTTTTGGGAGCAGGGATACCTTCTTGTTGAGGTGCGATAAGACCCTTAGTGACCCAGATTTATGGGGGCTACCTGGCCACCCCCCACCAAAAAAAAATTAGGGAGCTCTGATGGGTTATGAGTCGAAAATTTCTAGGAGCAAGGGTAAATTTTGACAACGGATTTGGGTTCTACGCGAAAGGTTACAAAGCTAATACAGCATGTGGCCTTTTTGCCCCCAAATTATTTTTCGACCCAATTTCTCCATAAAAAGCCTTGTATTTTTAAAAGAAAAAAGGTCCTAAGCTAATTTGGCATTAAACAGCCATCTACCCTAGCCATGACTTCTATAATTTTTGAGTAGAATCAAAATCTAAAGTCAATATAAAGCCTTGCTATTTAAACATTTTCGAAAGATGGTGGCCCCCATAAATTAGAGTAAACATGGGTCATGCGGCACATCAACAAAAGCTATTAATCCCTTCTTTCAGGAGATTTTTAGAATAAAGAACCAACGCACTCAAGGTTCGATTGAAAATTGCCCAAAAAATGCTCCAAAAACTCCAAATGTTCTGAAACTCCTAAAAATGGAGCATTTAGGAAGAAGTACAAACAACAAAAAGTTCTCATTTTTGACCATGAAATTTGATTCCGAAGTCAGAACATACCCTTCCATTTGAAATAAGCAAGAGACGGAGGTACCCCCCCCCCTAGAACCACCTAAAATGGGGTGGGGGGCAGAACTTATTTTCATTGAATTCTTCGGGCTGATTTGCCCTGTAAAAGTTTTCGTCTTGAAGTTCAATTTTCGGCCGTTTAGCAGAAAAATATATTGGACAGGTGGTCTGAAACACACAGTACTTGCAATTTCTGCATCAACATTGGTAATTTGTGTCAAACAATGGACTACAAGCCAAAATTAATCTAAACCTCTAAAAAACATATTTTCTAATCAAAATTTTGCAAAAAAACATCGATCATGTTAAAACTTCCACAATCAACATGAGTGAGAAATGAATGTCTAAAGTTTACATTATCAACACTGAGTAAACATTTCTTACTCATGATAAAACCATTTCACCAAAAATTAGGAAACTGAAGCTTGTTTGTTGCAATATTTACTGTCACCCCAATGATGAAAAAACGAAAAAAAAACCGGCGCTCCGCTTTGCTACGCGCAAGTTTTTAGGATGGGGGGGGGGGTC